ATGCATTCCTTAAAGTCTGAAGGTTTACAGCCCTCTCAGACCAAGTCACTCTGTGTGCATTTTCACCACAAACAGACCCGACACGTTGTTATGGCAACAATCACGCGCTTCCTGTTGGGAAATTTTGAGGACAGTGTTGTTTTCCAATTTGGCACTTGGTTCAGTTTGGTAAATTTCTCATTTAAGTTCATATGACAGGTTAGACACATTTCATAAATTTACTTCTAAATCTAACCTAGTTTACATCTTTATTTCAAGAGTGCACCAGTTGTGACATAAGTAGAGGTAATTGTTTAATTGTTTCAAAGCAGCTTTATCAAAAACAATTATGATTTGTCAAATTAAAATACCTGACCACACCTTAGGGTTGGTTTTCAACAATTTTTTGCGTCCCTCTAATTTGGATAGAAATTTGTGTATTGGTGACATAAAGTGATTCCATTTTACAACCAATTTTTCGACTTTATTTTTTCAAAGTTGCACAATATTTTATGGAGCAATTCATAGAAAAATAAATGATTTTGCTCAGTTTTTGCCCATTATCATAAAAATGACCTATTATATACTGTATGCAAAGTCAGATTTGTCAGAAAGTCAGACTTCGATGAAATATTTATCAGTAAAACAGTTTATATTTCAAGTGTACATTTAAACAAATCTCAAAATTACGATTATTATAGCAACTTCAGTGCCTGTGTTTTAGCTCACTTGGCTTTGTGTTTCTAAACTAAAACTCATCAAAAGAAGTAAAAACTCCAGTTCATCAAAAAACAACATATATATATATATATATATATATATATATATATATGTTTATTTTGCCGTGATTTTCCTTCAGCTTTTGCCTGTTTCCTGGTGATACAGTGCAGAGGCCTGTTGTTGCTGTTGTGTATGTTTTAGCTCCTCCCCTTTCGTCTCAGTAGCTCCGCCCCTGGCCCCTCCCTCTCCATTAAAGGCCACCCATCTGGAGTCCTTCTCTAGGCCCTCTCGCCTCCGTCCTGCTCACATAAAGGTGCCAATCAAGGTAATTGGCACCCTGCCGCTGCTTTGTCCTGCGCTGGACAAGTGCCTTTGGGGGACAGGGGGAAGTCTGTGTTCAACGGGTTTAAATAAGCCTTTAGCACTTGTTACATCTGGGATACTCCACAGTTTAGCCTACATTTTACCACCATTCAAGCTATTTTTAAACTACTGGATACCGGCACTTGTGTTTTAAACCATATAAATCTTAACACAGAAATTTATCTGAATCATTAGTATCATTGCAAAAATATCACTACCAATGCTATTATTCAACTTTTGCCCAAATATAATGTGAAGTTACAACACTGGGACACAGTTTAACCTATTTCACCTCCATTCATTGGATACATGGTTGCACAAATATATCTGTACTAACATCTATCCCATTACAACTACAAAAATATTACAACTATTATAATTATTATTAAACTTTTAGCCAATATAAAGTCTATATAAAGTTGCACTACACCACTGAGGCCATGTTAAACTATTTACTTTATTTATTTACAAACCTGTATGTCTTTTAAAAAAAAAAAAAAACTATATCTGATTCAGCACCACTATATAAATATAAATAATATTATTAAATCTTCTTCTTCATCTGCCCATAATGTATCAAGTTACAATTCAGTAAGTTATTCCATGTTGGGCATTATTGCAGTTGAAATAGTCAATATTTATTTTTAATGTAATGCAACTACTTTATTGTTGGTGACACTGTAGTTTTTAATAACCCAGTAAATCATAAAATCAATAATTATTTCATTTGTTTTCTAGCTAATTTGCTTTTATTTATTACCTTAGAATCTGTGCCAGAGAATACTAAAATTGTTGTTGTGTATATTAATAGTAATGTCACATCATATCTCATTTTAATGTGGCAATAAAGCTAAAAAAAAAATAATGCAAATGCAATTTTTAAAAAGCCATTTCTCCAGGTTAATGTCATGGGCTACTAGCAATAATATTCTTCTTAAAATATTATCATCCTGTGTGGAATATAAATTATCTTTTGGCATATTTTACACATATTTCCATCAATAAATTTAGATTTTGGTTTGTTGAATGCATGAGATTTCTTATTGATAAATCCTGAATAATCTTCGTCTTTGCACACGTACTTTGACTTGCGTTCTTCACCTCCGTTCCTGCTTTCTCTAATCAACACCAAACATTTTCATTTACAAGTGAAAGGGGTGAAATTGGAAGAATTAATTTGCTCTGGTGGTCATTCAGTCCGACTCAGATCCAATTATTCAAACAAAATATCGCCTTTATTCTTCTTTTTATGAAGCGATTTTCCTTTTTGCATCCAATTAAGGCCCAAGGACGTGGACTGAATTGAGAGCCAGGATTTGAACTGGTTTTGAAAAGGCCCATCTGAAAGGCCTGTGTCCAGAGGTCCGTCAGGTCTGAGCCGCAACAAAAAAACTCTGAGTGAATAGACGAACCCAATATTCAAACAGCAGCCAATATTATATTTTACTGAGTTTATCTACAATGTAAATTAAAAATAGGCTAAATATTTGACACGCCTCTTCACTTTTATTTATTTATTCTAACAACAAGTCTTTAAACATGGCAACAAAATGATTATATTCAAAGCTAAGAAAAATAACCTGTATTTTTGGGGCTATTACTTTTTATACAACAATAATAAAAAAAAGATGTTGTAGGAATTGACTTAATTGTAATAATATAAAAGCAACAAGTTTCAGCAATCAAAAAAGAATGAAAAAATGCATTGAAGTTTTTTTTTTTTAATCAGTTGCTTTCAATATTTCTACGCCTGTTCAATTTGGCTTTGGCTTTGGAGCTTTTGGAGATTTTATTACATTATCTAGGCCTTTTATGTTTTATGTTTATGTTGTCACTTCAAATCTTGTTATCTTTTTTTTTTTTTTTTTTTACAGAAATTGTGATTATCTTTTTAACTCTTAATATTGCATTTGTTGGATTATGAATAAGTTAAAGATTTTGAAATTGGGCTCGCTTTTCATAACAAACCCAAACAATTGACGGTTGAAAGAAAGAAAAAGACAAGACTCAGGGGGCAAATTACATAGACATATATTTATATGCATATGAATAAAAATACATATACATATTGTACAACATTTGTGGGCGAGCCTGAAAACAACTCGTCCATCCCAGAAAACAGAAGTAAGCCTCTTTTAAATAAGTGCAAAATGTTAATGAGACAAAGAAATGTAAAGCATATATAAAGTTGTTCATTTTGTTTTTCCTGTTAAAATCACATGGAGCTGACATGGAAATACTTGTGCAAAGACCCATTCATATATATTTATATAGAAATTTATATATATGTACAAACTGTAGTAGCTGGTGCCGATAGCATTGACATTTAGTTACTGCTCAAAGTAAACAAGAGGTTTTGTGGCCTGACTGTGCACAAAAAAATAAAAAGTAACAACATACCAATCTCAAAGACTTTTTAAAGATTTGACGAGTTGTAAAAGTGAAGCCCTTGAGACACTGGCATCCTAAACAAGTGCAAGATCTTACAAATTGCACAAATAAAAATAAACTCAAATGTGAATTGCTGCAAGGCCTGAACATAGCCATCAGTGCTATCTCAGAGTCTATCTCCTTCTGGCAAAATGGACCATCATTTAGCTGCTTTTTTGAAAATAAAATACATACATTTTAAAATAAATGTCAAAATAGACTGAGGAAGCACACAAAATTAGAGGAAAAAAATGTTTTTAAAGGAAATCTTGAACAGAGTTTGAATCAGTTTTGTTCAGTGCAACTGCAACCAGGTCAAACTAGGATCCAGATTACAAAAAACTGGAACGATGTGAAAATGTTAATCCCAACAGATTGCAATGATGGACATATTGCAATAAATTATTAAAAAGCCTATCGGTATCTGCTGGTGAAATTGAGAATAATTTGAGTGACAGTTTCAAAATAAAAGCCCATTTTTGAACTGAATAGCCACATCTAGCTTGAAAATATTGAAACCTGGCAATAAATAAAAATATATATCATTTGATTGGGTCATAGTAACAAAATGTAGTTGTAATAGAAACTTGAAATCATTGCAATCTGTTAATTAGGCCTACATTTTACACAGCACCAGCTTCAAATGTATTCTTTTTTTTTTTGTTGTTGTTGGAAATAAAGCCCTACTGTACATGCAAAGCTCTGAACTTTCATCTCCATCACTCTTCTCAATATTTCATGGGCCTTGCGAGTAAATTATGAATGTAGCTTATAGAAAATAATATGACAACAGGGAAGAGTAAGCTAACACGAGTCTGTTGTTAACGCTGCTAGCTTTTCAACATCAACAAGAAGTCACCGGTTACCAGGTGCAAAAAGGGACCAGCGCGTGGAAGATTTTGTAGGTCAAAGCATTTTAAAAGATAAATGTGTTTTGCTTTAAAAAAAAAAACATAGCAGGTTTTTTTATTTTATTTTATTTTTTTTGCTTTGGATGTCATAGGAGGGGACTGATTTTAATAGCCAGGGAATCACCTTGAGGAAAAACGCATTACAACTCACAATGGAAAAATGAATAGATACGTAGAAGAAATAGTCGGAAATGGTTTAGCTTGGAGCAGACCGGAGACAGAGGGGGCAATAACTCGAATGACACGCGCAAATAGAGGGCAAGCGGTTACAAATTGCAGGTTCTCGCGGGTGACTTTTGATTTTCTTTGGGTGTCAAAGCAAAACGCAAGATCATATGAAAGAAAATTCAAATAGATCCAATACATCTGCAGCTTTCTGTGTGATTATTCAAATGCACCAATTAAAGCATGCAAATTAATATATTTATTTCTAGATTGGATTCTAACAACTTGCCTGAGCCGACCTGCGTGTTTTCAATTATGATTAAATAGCTTCAGAAGCCACAGATGACAGAAAATATTGGGGAAAAAAATAACTACAAACATAAAGTGCTTTGAGTGAGAAGCCTGAACAAAAACGTCAACAAAATGGGAACATAAAAATAAAGTATAAATAATGTTTTGGGGTATTTTTAGAGGGCCTAGCTTATTTAAAATGTACAGTGTGTAAAAGACGATAAAATATCGTACAACTTGATTTTTAAGAGCTGAATTTTAAGCTTAAATAAACGTCTTTACAATGTTTTTCCACAAACTTGGTCAAAGTATTTTTACAAAAGATGTGAAATAGTGATTTAACAGTGTAAAATAAGTCTGTCCGTGTTGTGAAGCTTCATCATTTCTTGCTTTGGCAGAGTGTAACCAGCTTTTGTTTTCTTTTTTCCCCTACAATTGGATCTAGATATGTGATTTTTGTACCGTTCTGACCAGATCCTACCAAATATTGTTTCTTACACAAACACAACCAAATAAAGAATTTACAAAACTACCTCTGGACACATAACAGACTGATATTAAGATGCTACGATTCATTTTTTTCTGTTTCATAAGTGATAGCACAAAACTAAACTCAAACATGGCCACTTGGATGAGAGATGTGTACAAACTGCTATTTTTGAAAAACACGGTTTCCATTCAATGCTGCTTTAGACTGAATGATCCAAGTCAAGTATTTTTTCCTGAACAGTAAAATGAAGGCCTGTATAGAGAAACAGCACGCACACAAACGCACGGGACAAAAGTGAGAGTCACTTAAAACCACTGAGAGTCGTCAGGGCGACACACAACAGGGGAGAAATTCACAAGTCTTTTTTTATTGTGGAAGAGTTTTTCTCCTTCACATGGTGTCCTGGTCACAGTTTGTCAAAAACAAAAAGTTCCTCTTTCCACGGGTGGTTTCTCTTTAACAGTCAAACCGATATCAGTGTAAAGACCTCAAATACTCAAATACCGTTTAGGAGACTGTCTTCTTCCCCCCCAGGTCCGCTTCCTTTCTGTCCAGTCGCATGTATGGCTCAAAGGCAGAGGAGCCACAGCCATAAGCAGAGGTCAGTTCATGGTGAGCGCCCCCTAGCAGTGGCATGGAGAAGCACAGAGAGTGTGGAGGTGGGACACCCAGGCGCGGTGAGGGAGGGGTGCCCCCCAAAGAGGGCAGGGAGAGCCCAAAGGTGCCCCCGGGCAGGGAGCTGGGCGGGGTGCTGCTGATGCTGGGGGAGGTGGAGGAAGCTCCAGGGCTGCTCAGGAGGGAGCCATTGGGGTGCGGCGGAGGTCCCAGGAGGGGGTTAGGAGGGGGAGCTGGTCCTGACAGGAGCCTGCCCTGCTCCAGCAGCCTCAGGATGTTACAGGTCGCCAGAGACTCGGAGGTGGAGGAAGAGCGTTTGTCCGAATCCTTCGTAGTGTCCTTTTTCTGCTTCGTCCTTCGATTTTGAAACCAAACTTTGACCTGAAATAACAAATCACAGTTAGTTTATTTGTTCCGAAGAGAATCTGTTTTGGACACAGGCTGCTGCACAGAAAGATACACACAGATTAAGTATTATGAATAACATCCCAACAGTTGAATCCCCAAATTTTGTTTCAGTCTTTGTTAAGGGCTATAATTATCTTGCTGTATTTTATCAACCATCACAACATCCCTACCTTTTCATGCCCTCATTTCATTTAAACATTACAGCCATGATGTTTTCTGAAACCGATATAAAGTACAATATCCTGTAGTTTGGAGTTTGTTTAGTCTAAAGAGGTGCCCCTTATGACCTTTAAGTGACTCTTGTGTGAACTCTCTGGTGTAGTGTGCTCTGAGGTCACGCACAATCAGCCAAACACGCAAAATCCATCCAGGTTGTAATCCCCAGCAATGAATGTACTATTTTCTATTTTTATTTGATTAAAATTGGACTAAATGCAATGCCTTACCTTAACCTACACATATTAACCAAAATATCAAACCCTTGAGGATGTTTGCGTGTTCAATAATGGCATAATATTGAACCACTTATGAGGGATAATCCAACAATAACAAATAAAGATGAGAAGGTAAACCAATCAACTGTTTTCTGTCACGAAAGGCACCTTTACTGGTCACGCCACCCGCTGCAGGTCCGAAGAAGCGCGCTGAACTCTGCCTGTCCTTGTCCACCATGTTTTTTTAATGCGCCACAGTGTAGCTTTTAATGTATAGCGTGTGGAATAGTTGTGCTGAGCCTGATGTTGATTGGAGGGCACGCTGGGGTCAGGAGATCGCGCTCCCCTCCCAGAGAAATTACATACATGAAAAATGCATGACGCTGACCGAGTTTCTGTCAGAACTACTCTAAAGGCTAAAGCAACATAGCTCTAGAGAAATATTAAGGGTGATAAAGGCACTCCTTGTTGGGTCCCTAACTATAAAGTCTAAATAATTAAAAGCTAATTGATTCATTTGTGTCAATTTTGGAAACTAAATTAACTATAATACACTTTTTCAGTCTTGTCAGTATTTCTGTAGAAATAAACTAAAACACAAACATTTTAGGTGTGGATAAATATGTTTTTTGTGGTATTTGGAAACAAATGAAAGAACTTAAAATAAGTTGGGTCAAAAATAAAATTAACCCAACTCAAGCAATTTTAATGTTTGGTAAATGTATTTATTTATTTTTTCTTGTTAGTACATAATTATGGCTATCAGATGAAAGGGTTATTTATGCATTTTATTTGTTTAATAATTTTAATAACTTCTTGTTTTACTATAAGAGATTTTGTCTGCTGGCTGCTAAGGTGTATCAAAACATTTACAGTTAATTACATGTGGTGTGAATTTTAATGTAACCTATTCCTGTTTCTTTTTTTATTTTGAAAGGCCTTTCTCACTGCTGTGGATCTTGAACAAGGAGAAGACAGCCCATGGACTTCTATCGCTCCATACCATGCAGGTATTTAGGTCCACATTGTAAAGCTGTGATGTGATTGGCTTATTCAGTGCAGTCATTAGAAGGCAGTCTGACAGTGGCACCTGCCGCTAGGCCTGGGCACTTGGCCTGATAATGATGAGTTTAAATAGGATTATTAGCACAGGGTGAGTATTTGAGATGATTATAGGATAGTGTATGCCCACATAGGTAATAGTAAACCGCTTTTGGCGCCTCTGAGAAATGCCATATATTTAGATGTATAGAAGTTTGACATGAGTCTATATAATAGAGTATACGAAGGTCTTTGTCCTCAGGAAAGACATATTACACTCTTGGATCTACCAATTAAGTTATTTTGAACGATCATAAATTGAGTTGTTTTGTTAGAAAAATTTATGCAATGCCAAAACAGTAAGTCTTAAGACAAGTCTATTGCAATGCTGAATGATTAAATACAGTGCCCTGTGTTTCCTTGCTGCTACAGACATGGTTATTTTTCGTGATGGAGGAGGCTTCATTGAAGTAACAGGTTGTTGTTTGTGCATCACGTCTGTCCAAACTCAGCATACTGAGATCATAGAGACCCACGACACAAATAATGGGATCGGAGCGGCTCAGGGCTGCACTGACGCCACTGCCACTTACAGTAGTGACCTGCAGGGGGCAAAGACAGGACCAGCCCAAACACGGTGCTATGGATAGGTGCATCTCTGCGCCTCTCTCCTTTTCTGTCTATATTGGGGCAGTTTCGTGCTCGTTAGCTCACATGCTGCCCCTCTAAGATCAGCTGCAGTATTTTACTCATGCTCCAGCGCTTGCCAAACATCCACATCCCATAAAAGGCTTTGAGTGCAGCCGAAGTAAGCGACCAATCCCGTGGCTTTATCCTCCAGAGGGGGCGGGGCCTAGCCTCCTGTTCACATCACTGCTGTTCACTGCCCCGCACGGAGGGGGCTGGTGTTATACAGGGATTTTATTAGTGGGAGAAAATGATGAGAAGAGAAGAAAGCAAAGCTGCCTTTGGTACATCTACACTATTGGATGTAAATCCTTTTTAATGGGATCCAGGGTTCAGAGCTGGGGCAGAGATTACAGAGGGAGATCTGGATCTGGTGTGACCTGCGATTGCCCCAAGCTCGCCCTCTGCCCTGCCCCACTCTCTCTCTGCCCTGCTCGACTCCAAGCCCTGCACATGCAGTATGTCAATAATGTGTGTATATATATATATATATATATATATATATATATATATATATATATATATATATATATATATATATATATATATATATATATATATATAGCTGGTTGTAGTAGAATTATCATTTTAAAAGAAATACATTTGTAAAAATTAATACTTTTGTTAATTGCAAAGATTAATTTTATGTAATAAATACTCAATAAAATAGTCCTAAATTCTGAACCACTACCAATTAAAACACAACATTGTTTAGTAATACAGCTGCCGAATGCAAGTGTGCCATTAAGTTGCATTTCTATTACTCAAATATTATTTTTACTTATTTATTTTATTATTATTATTTATTTATTTTCTTGTCATGCATACTTATATCACTATTTTTTTTAAATGATTTTTTCTTTATTATTATTTATTTATTTATTTATTTTACAGCCAAACCACATTTTTCAGATTTATTTATTTATTTATTTTCCTGGAGTCTGAAAAAGGAGAGAAGGCTGCATAGACACTGAATGGACGTTTCTAATGAAGAATGGACAGACAACAGCCGGTGCAGCTGAGCATCCATAGATCACACCGTATGAATTAAAACATGGAGTGTGTTGTAATCAGGACAGGATAAATTCAAGGTCAGAGGAGATGATCGGTCTGGGATCACATTCTCCCATGGACCACTGGGGCCGAGACATAGCCAATCAGATTGCAGCATTTCAGACTCAGACATCTGCAAACGAGGGGTCAGGCAAACATGGCTATAGAGGTAAAAAGGTTAAGCCTGCTCACAGTGCAGATCAACGCACTAGTATCCATATGTGAGTTTGTTTGATACGCCATAAGCTTGCTCTCTGTGGGCCAACAAAACAAGACAAATTAAGATGATTGCAAAATGACACCGATTTGGTTAATTGCACCTCCTAATTCAGTATAATACATCAACTGCTACACTATTGTATACTCAAATTTGTATATTACAGCTTAGTATTGACTTCCAGCTGACCAGAATCACAAGGAGATGCATGAAGGACCTTATTGTGAAAAGGTTTAAAAATTACAATGTGCTAAGTAACTCACTTTTGCCATGAGTTCCGAGCAACTTATTGTAATAGGCCAACTTTTACTGGCAAAAAGTAATGACTATGTAGCAGAAGACAGGAATTTATGCTCTTCTTTCCACTAGGAACTAAGGCTGGTCATTTGGAAATTTACACTGACTAGTATATTGGGTTTTGGGACTTAGATTTTGGGACTTAGATTATTATCTAAGTACAAAATCCAATACATTAGTCAGTATAAATTTCCATGAGCAATATAATTCTTACTATCCGGTATATGTTACTTTACTTATTATATGTTTAGCAGGATTTGATCAATTAACATAACATGTAAATGTACCAGAACAGTTTGGCTGTACCCCTGCTGCTAGGTAGTCATATCCTTAATTTCTAGGATTAAAAGATTACAGTTTATGTTTAAATTGAGTATTCATTTTAGGCAGCCTGCTGCTTTTTAATATCTGCAAAAAATATAATAGATGGCCTAATTTCCTCTTGTTACCAAAGGTAAGTTGTTATTGTTCTCAATACTGCAAAATATTTATTTTTGTAATCTATAATAGTGACAGAGGAAGTTTTTCTATATGTTGACTTAGTATATATATATACTATAATATATAAAAAAGATATATAATATAATATAGTATAGTATAATATAGTATATATAATATAAACGAATATTATATATTTTGAATGATGAACGTCCTCAAAATGTTGCATATAACAAGAAGCTTAACCCATGAATATATATACAGTATACTGACATAACTATTAGTGGGTTTCAGAATTATGAAAAATCTGGACCATTGCTATAAATATTAACAATATATAAATATTATATCTTTTGAATATACTGATGTTTATAATCACTATCCATGGGTTTCAGAATTATGAAGTTAGGACAGCTGTTCTATCGTGATTAACCATTTATAACTAAATATTATATTTTTGGAAAGCCCTGAAAATGGTCCACATCACAGGAAGCGACATGAATAGATCATGAAATAGCTCTAAAGCTGGATACAGATGCTAAGACGTATCCATTAAAGTGTGAGTCTATAATACAGTAATGGGCGGTGAGTGTTTGAGAATGACACTTGGTTTCACACTTGCCTGACCTCTGGGCTCGGACCTTGATCCCAAACATGTGACGCTGTACAAAGAACCCACTTTCTCTCCTCGTTTGAAGTGAGGACCAAGAAAACTGCAGCCACTCAACTGCACTAATCAAACCAGTAAACGTTTGTGGAATTGACTAATGTAGATTAGGGTTATCAAAAATCCATACTTAATACTAAAACATAAAAATACTGAAAAAATAGGACAAAATTAGATTTTTCTTGAATTGTTTTTGAATGCTCTTGAACTATTACAGAAATAGTTTACGATTACATGGCAGGGATTGCATTAAAGAAAATACTTCTGAAAATTACTAATGTCTAATAATGTTTAGTTTTTGTTTGTTTGTATTTTTCAGTGTCGAGTACCAAGATTTTCCTTGAAATTTAAATCAAGTTTGGAGTTTTAGCGTTGTGACTATGCTATGGAAATGTATGTACAGGCCTATAGTTTAGGCCTAATGGTTCACTTTAAAGGAGGAGAGGGCCTATCTGTATAATGGAAGTCATATTAAAATCACTGAAATAAAATAAACAAAAATAATATAGTGAGTTCTGTAGATGTTGTACTGCCAGTATTATAATGCTAACCCTGATCTCGCCGAGCTGATTTGGTATTTTCACTGAAATATAATGGTATAATGATATGTTCTCCATTTATTATTAAAAAGAAGAGAAAAAAAAATAAATAATTGATAGCTTTATTTATCTTTTTGACTGATCCTGTCTATAATTATTTCTTTGACAATTTAATTTATTCAAAACATTAATTAAAAATGAATTGTATAATTATTCAGGCTAATTTCTAATTTCCTCCAATAACAGTGATGATTAACTTCAGTTTGGTTTAATAAATTTTAGAAAATCTATTTATTTATTTGTGACTGATTAGATCCTTTTAATAATTTTCACTCTTGAGTTTAAAAAATTGAAATGAAAAAAATAAATAAAATAAATAATAAAAAGGTTATGTAATCTGTTTTTCAGTCATATTATTTGTTGATAATGTTCATGCTTGAAAAGCACATGAATAAAATACATTGCATAGACTAAAATGTATATTAGAAACAGATTTTTTTTTTAAATTGATTTATTTATTTTATTAATAGGCTTCTAAAATTGGTTGCCTCTCTTTCCTTTATCCCATGTCTACATGCAATCAATTTAATAACAAAAAAAGAAAAAAAAAATCCTTAGTTGATAGAGGCATTTTACCTCAAATATTTTCAACTTGTTTCAACTGAGAACTTATTATTTGGGTTAAGAAAGTTAAATATATATGTTTTTTTATTTTTTTTTATTTACAGCTATAATATCGTGGAACCAGTAAAAAATTGCAATATTTAAAAACAAAAAAATAGATATTCAGTTTTAGAAAGTCTTCGAAACATTGCATATAACAAGATATTTCTCCCTCTAGCTTCTGCTCTCTGTCCTGAATCGTTTGCACCCGTCTTTCCTGGACCGTCCTGAACCAGTCTGGACCACCGCGTTGACCCTGTCCCACCCCAGTGAACCTGATGGGCCCATGGGTGCTCTGGGCCCATGGGTGCAACACATGTGCGGCAGGTTCAGGCCGGGGTTAACTCCGTCTTATAGAATGGCTGTAGATATGGCTGCTTAATCCTCCTTAGCTCAAAAGCACTTGGT